GGGGGGGGGGAAAGGGTAGGGACCCTCCAGGGGCGCGGGCCGCGGGTGAAGCGTGTGGCGCTGCTTGGGGCTGGGGGTTAGCCGTCAGCCCAGGGGTGCAAGGGGTGGCTGGGGTGGCTGGGCTCCGGTTTTGGGAGTCCTTGGCGGCTTGTTTGTCCTGCCTGGAGAGGCCGAGGGTTTCTAAAGAGGGCGACACAAGCCGCACGCACACGCCCTTCTCCTCCCCATCAAGCATGGCAGCGCGGGCGGGCCCTCGGTTCTCCACTGCGCCCCGACGCCCGCCCGTCCTGCCCGCGCCCTGCCCCAATCTGAGCAGCCTGACCTCGACGCAGCTTACCAACCCACCCCTTCTGCCTCCCCGCCCTCCTCACGACACCCCAAATGCAGAGCCGGACGAGTCCGTCCGCCTTCCGCCCGCAGTGACGCTCTACGACAAGGCGATCACCCTCTGCGGCCTGTCGAAATCCTGGTGCCTGCCCGGCCTGCGGATCGGCTGGGTGGCCAGCCAAGACGCGGCGCTGCTTGAGCGAGTGGCGGCGCTCAAGGACTACACCACAATCTGCAGCTCGGCGCCGTCAGAGGTGGGGCTGTCCTCGTGCGCGCGTATGCGTGCGCATGCGCGTGCTGGTGTGCTCATGCCTGCGCCCGTGCGCACGCCCAAGCGCGCGTGCTCATGCATGGTTGTGCGCATGCTTGAACACCTGGATGATCTTCATCATGGCTGGACTCAATAGCGTGCATGGTGCAACCCCAGGCCGCTGCTACATACGTTTGTATCAGCCACGCTCACAGTGCAAGGGGCCGCACACAGCGACGAGGCGCACAGGGATGCCAGCTGTCAGAACACCACTGCCCGCCGGGGGCGTCAACCGCCTTCCCACTGCCGGCTTTGCCCCCTCTGCCCATTTTTTCCCAGGTCCTGGCCCTCATCGCGGTCAAGGCTACCGAGCACATCACAAAGCGGGCGCGCGGAATCGTCGCGGAAAACACGGCGGAGGCGGCGGCCTTTTTCGGGCGCTGGGAGCACGTGTTCGACTGGGCGCCGCCAGACGCGGGGCCGATCGCGTTCCCCAGGCGAGCGGGCTCGGCTGGCCGCGCGATGCGCCGCCGGACAGCGGGCGTGCTCACAAAGGCGCGGGGTTGCAGATGCCGGCTCTGCGCACGCAGCACCGAAGCAGAGCGTATCTAGGGGATCCTCATCTCGCCGAGTTCTTCCTGCACCACCCCTCGTTACCGCATTGCTTCTGCTTGACATTGATGACCATGTGACGCCGTGCTCAGCGTCCCCACCCACCCAACATGTGCACGCGTGCGTGCACAATCACCATCGTTTGTTGCCTCGCATCCGCCTGCCCCTCACCGATTCGTGTCCTTCTTAGCTAAACACACACGCGCACGCACACACACACACACGTACACACACAAGCACAAACAAGAGCGCACACATGCAAATGCCCACGAACATAAATTGACAAACCTACGCACGTATGCACCTACCACCAAAGGTTGAAGGTGGAGGCGCTGGCAGCTCTGCCAATGATTAGCGGCGCCCCGCCCTTTTCAGGCATCGACGACTTCTGCCAGCGGCTCGTGGACGAGGCGGGGGTGCTGCTGCTGCCAGCCAGCGTCTACGACCACCAGCCTTCAACAGACAGGTGGGCGGCGCCGTCTTAGCAAACTTGAGACCGCCTGAAACTGCCGGCTGCCACAGCAGACCGTCCAGCCGCTGTCTGGTGTTCGGCCCCTGGATCTCAACTGATGAATTATCGTACACGCTGGACCGACACCAGGGTGGTGCAGCCGGCCACGACTGACGCCCTGCTCACCCCCTGCCCACACCTTGTCACACCTGCCCACTAACTGCACAGGGGCCACTTCAGGTTTGGTCTGGGCCGGCTGTCAAATCTGGACGCCCTCCGCCATTTCGAGGCCTTCTTGATGCGACACTTTGGTGGCCTCGTGCTCTGAGGCCGGCACTCAAAGCGGCCTGTCCCATTCTTTTGGTCACTATTTGTCAGTGAACGTCTCTGCACTATGCGGCACAATGGGGAGTTGACAGGACATCATGTGTATTTTTACAAGTATCTGTGACCCTGTGATAACCTTGAATTTACCTGATGCCCAAAGCAAACAGGTCAAAGCAATCTTCTGCATGCGTGTGCGACGAATGGCATGTGTGGCCCCTGTCACATGCGCCATTCTATACTGCAGCACACACTTTGTGTGCCTCTGGCGCGGGAAACGCGTGTTTGACTGGGGATGAAGAGATTTCATATCACATTTACGGTAACATAATTTGTTTGTATGTCTGTGAAGTGAACTCGGTGGCATCAAGGACACGTGGTGGGTTCAGGACCACTCACCACAATCACAAAACGCCACTGAAAAAAGGAAGACAGCATCCCCACAAATAGTGATGATGAATGCACACCTGCCCATCCTGCGTGAAAAGGCTCCTGACGCGGGGGCGCCGACTGCAGCTGGTTGCGGCGCAGCTGCGGGGCGCGTGCCTACACGTTGCGCATGTGCGGCGGGATGTACGCGAGCCCGAGCGCGTCAAACAGGTCCCTTTCCCGCCTGACGGGCACGATCGGGCCCACCAACACGCATTTGTCTGTGATGGGGCCGCCCGCCCTCAGCGCCGAAACTAAGCCCTCGCTCACCCAAGGCCCCCGGGTGCCGTCAGCAAAGACCGCCTGGACCGCCCGGCCCCGCGGCCCGCCGCCGTCGCCGAGCGAACGGCGCAGCGCGGCGGCGGCGTCGGGGCGCGGCGCGCCGCCGCCGGCGCTGGCGCGGCGGGG